GTCAATTATTATGCCAACGATTAGGTAGGGATGTGTGTTATCTTTTTTTCAGGGATGGTAACTGCAATCTTAGCATATTGGCAATTAATTCCCAATGATTATGTAGGGTTGCAATACAAGATTTGAACATGGCATATTTATAATTATTTTCAAATCATACAGTATAGATAATTATTCTCAACACCACTTTGGAACTTGGAACCTTGTTATATAATCTTAGGATTAATTTCTAGCACCTTATAAAGTCTTGCGCTTCGTATGATACCTTTTTAATAGGCAAAACTGCGGCTAATATCATGACATTTATCGAGATTGCAAATTAATCACAACCTTTTAACTTTTGCATAATATATCACGCCCTTCAATATTTTGCAAAACGATACACGGTTTTCATCTGTTGGCCCAACTCGTCTGACGTGGCACTCAAAAATGCCAACACACCTGCTGATGTGTATTTACCAGACAATTTTTTTTTGGCAAAATTGCGGCTAATATCGTGACCTTTATCGACATTGCAAATTAATCACAACCTTTTATCTTTTTGCATAATATATCATGCCCTTCAATTCTTTGCAAAACGATACATAATGTTGTACATGTATTCAAACATCGAGTTGTCTCTCAAGGAAAGTTAGTCGGATTACTTTGCACGTGTATTCAGTCACACGAAAAGAGAAAACAAATCCTAAACACTCTAATTCAATTGTTTTTGGTTTTGATTATCAACTACAAATTTTAAAAATAAAGCAAGACACACTTCAAATTCCAAATGGAGTTTAAATAATGACGGGTGAGTTAGGGAGTCGGAGAAATTCGTTTATGGTTCTCAAGCAATCAATTAGCACGCAACCGCTCGGTTAAGAGATCAAATAACATAATCGTTTAGAGGCTTGTTTTCAATAACTCTTCTTAACAAGAGAACAAACATGAACGATCAATTATCGAACAATTAACACATAGACAATACATTAACGAACAAGCCTATTCTAAACGAGCCGAGATCAATCAATTTCTCCCCTTTCGGTTCTACAAATTGATTAACTAGATTAGAATGATGATCAAACATCTAACCCTAGATTAAGCACAACTCGAACAGATTGAACGACAAACACACACACATGAATCTCAATCGAATAAAACAAATATCCCCTATCCCTAATGAAGCGATTTAGCCACACGTATTGATTTCAATCCCAACAACAGATTCAACACAATAAATCACATCCATAATCAAATGAAAGGAAATTACTATTAATCCAAGTCGAGAATGAAATCGAAATACAAACCAAATCGTGTTCGTTATGGAGTGTCACAATCTCCAAAACTCGAATCCAAGCAAAATCCAAAGAAAACCAAGTGAAAGTTGTTGAAAGAATGAGTTTTGAGATGAAAAGATAAAAGATAAAAGTCTCAATAATCTGTTTTCTCTCCAGCCTTAGCCTAATATATCCCCAAGGGTTCCAAAATCTCCCCCTCATCTCGTCCAGGGATGAGATGGAAAAAAAATTGTTTGTTAAATACACATCAGCAGGCGTGTTGGCATTTTGAGTGCCACGTCAGACGAGTTGGGGCAGCAAATGAAACCCGTGTATGGTTTTGCAAAGAATTGAAGGGCGTGATATATTATGCAAAAAATTAAAAGGTTGTGATTAATTTGCAATCTCGATAAAGGTCATGATATTAGCAGCAATTTTGCTAAAAAAAATTTTTTGTTAAATACACATCAACAGGTGCATTGGTATTTTTGAGTGTCACGTCAGACGAGTTGGGGCAGCAGATGAAAACTGTGTATCATTTTGCAAAGAATTGAAAGGCGTGATATATTATGCAAAAGTTAAAAGGTTGTGATTAATTTGCAATCTCGATAAAGGTCATGATATTAGCCGCAATTTTGCCTTTTTAATATGATTATCCCACACTATATGAACATCTAACATGAGATATTTCGTACCTTTTGTCTAAAGTTTTCATATCATGCTACCTATAACTTGTAAGGGACAACAGTATCCATTGGGCCTTCGTCCCTACAAAGTCATTTACAGTATACATGGTTTGGGCCTCACAAATTTGAAAAAGGGCCCGACAAGGAACCGTAGGTTTTGTCTAGGCCCACCCAATTTCTGGTTTAAGGCTTCATTTCCTTTGAGTCAGTTATTGGGATTTGAGCTACATAATAATCCTCAACTTTTGTTAATATTCTAAAGGAATCACTGTAAATACCAAATTCAATCACGAAGAAGGTAACAATTGCCGGAAAATCTAATGTAGCGATGGAGTTGGTAAAAAACAACCTTCTTAAAATCAACTTAAACTTAATCTAAAGTACATTATAATATTATTGGTCAAATATAATCTCCTGGTTAATTATAGTGTCTTATAATTTATAGGGCCCCTAAATTAATTTGTCTTTTCTCGTTGGATTTGTACCTAAGTCCACTTGCTCATCAAGAGATATTTTCTTTCGCCCTCTGATACACAAATTTTAAGACACGGTTAATTATACCTTACTACACTTCCATCAGCTCACAATGTTTTATATATTTATTTATTTATTAAAAGTATCAACATATTATAATTATCAAAAGTATTTCTAATTTATTAGTAGAGATATTTATATACTTTTTAAACTTTTAGTATAACTAAACTGGTTAAAGCTTCAACTCACCCCGTTTAGCTATCCAATCATATTTAATCTAAAGTTTATTTATCTAACTTAATGAGTCAAACTCAGCTGATATTCACTTTTGGGCCCCTTTGTGTTGCCTTTGTCTCCCACAGTTCCAAGCCGAAGTACGCAAGAAAGCAATTGCAGTGGGCATTAAAAGTCCATTCTCAAAGAATGAAGCGTAAATCCCACGCACCAGATATCGCATTAACCTCGGAATTCTCAAAAGATCGGACATACAAACCCCATCCTATCCTATCATCCAAATATCTCCATATAGTAATAAATATCATCAAAATACTTCATCTCACACTATTTAATTGTTAGATGTTCTT